AACAGCAGATATATTTGTAGTGCTGGTCCACATTTCTCGCCACTGTGAGTCGGCGGCATCTGTCTGCAGAATCCGAGTGGATGTATGTGTGCCTCAGAGCTCGCGTCTGTCAGTCAAGGTCAAGGGTCCGCCCGGTGTAGTGGGTACTGTCCTAGGTGGGAGAGAAAGAGAGGAGCCAGCTGACTGTCAACCCAAGAACTGGGACTTAGTGTGGGGAGCAAAGAAAGGGAGCCTACAATTTACTCAGTTTTATGAAGGAGTCCGGGAGGCACCTTTGTGCAGTCACACAAAGGTTGGCACAATCCTGTTGGCACAGTCATACTTTCACCTGTAAAGAGAAATAACGGAGACAGCCCGACTTAGCTAGAAGGAACTTAGTTGGTTTCCTCTCCTACCGCACAGTCAAATATTTATTTACTGTTAGCGCGAGCTGCGGCGACCCAGGCCGCGGCGTTCAGTGTCAGCCAGGCCTGTCTCGGCCCCGCCCTGCGCCTAGAGACATCTGTGTGTGTGAAGCCCACCCTGGTCAGCCCGCCCGCGCTGGGCCCCTGCGCCCAGGGAAGGTACTGACGACGGCCCCGTGTTCCCCCCGGCCGATGTGCATCGAGAAAGGAGCAGAAGTCACTCGGTGGCTGGGGGTGAAGGTTATCCCAGCCCCGGAAGCAGTGCCTAGAGCAGGGAGATGATGGCGCTTGCATTTCTAAGTACTGTCGAGAGCACCGCCCTCACAGAGGGTTTGAGTGCTGGTCTTGGAGACTTTCTCCAGGGGGGCCTGTTGGCTCCTGTCCTGGGAAAATGCTCTGTGGGGAAGTGGCAAGTTAAAGACCTGCATCTTCACCTCTGTTCGCTTATCTGCCCGTGACCAAAGTGGGCAAGACGCACTGTTATTTTTTTGTGTGAAAGGTGTATTCAAACACGCCTCCCTCTACCTGTCAGCCTCCCCGCAGGCTGCAGGGAAGTCAGGCTGTGTTACTTTGAGTCATTCCTTTGCCACAGGTCTGGCCTAGCACTGCAACTTGTAGATGTGCCTGAATCAGTCATTAGCCACTGACACGCCATCTCGTGCACACAGACATCACACAGAGTCCTTGCATTTCACCGCATCCGACGGGCTCAGTCTGGGGGTGCTGAGGATGTCCCTGGCAGCCTCCCCCAGGCAGCCCCCAGCCCCAGCTGTGCTGGTGTGTCTCCCTCAGTGTCTTGGAAACAGAAACAGAGTGAAGCCCAGGGGTTCACCCTCCGGGGCCAACCAGCCTGTGACCTTCCCAGTACCCCTCAGGGGCGCCCTCCCCACCTCCACACCCTCCCAAGCTCTGCTTGCTCCCTGGGTGTCTCTGTCTCCCCCATCCTTTTCTCCTCCCACTCCCTTTCATTTCCTTGAACCCTCCAAGAGTCTCTCCCCCTGCAAGGACACCTCACATTTTCTCTGCCAGATCAAGGAGGCCCGTCTGTTTAGTGGAAGCAACTCTGGCTTTCAGTAGTGCTTTACTCCACAGCCTGAACAGACGCACGCAGAACACACATGAACCCCAAAGCTCAGGCTCAAGGATATCATATCACTGACCCCCTTTAGCCGAGTAAACTGATTCTGAACACTTCCTCAGCTTCCGCCTCAGTCCCGTAATCCTTTGTGATGGTTCTGTGTGACCTCACCCACCTCTTCCCCATGACCTCATCCAAATCTGAAAATTCACAGATGAAAACTGGAATCTGTTCTCTGATGATGGTGTAGTGGGGTCTCCAGAGGGGTCTCCTCCCCCGCCTTTCCTCGCATCTCCCGCAGAAGGTCACTTTTCCATCTTTTCTGGTATTTCTGGGTTTATACACGTCTTTGTCTTCAAAACCATGTGTGGAGTCTAAGTGAAGGTGTCACTTCTAGAACCTGGCTTTTCTTCTGACGAGAAAATAACCCTGTTTTCCAGGTACTTTTTAAAACTAGAGAAATAGAAGAATAAAAAGGTTAGAAGAGAGAAAAAGGAACTTGAAATGGTTAACTAAGCAGGTTTTATTCTTTAAATTCCGAGGCGGGTAGGAATGAGCAGGCCCACACCCACAGCACGGCCCCTGGACGCTGCCTTCTCCCTCTCAGCCGCCTTTGGGCCTGGACCTGTTCTCTCAGTAGAAGAGCAACTCATCTCCAGAGCACTGCAGCGATGTTTCCATAGAACCAAAGACTCAAGGGAGGTAGAGAGGACAGAGGTGTTTGAAGTCAATCCATCTAATCAAACAACCGGCAAGAAACTACACCCGCCCTTTCCCCAGAGGGGAGCCCGGGTCTAAAACCCCAGCCCTCAGGTGGAAGGAACCTGGACTTCCATTAGCCACAGCCAGTGCCTGTGCGATTGCAAGCGCCGTGTAACATCTGTCTGCAAAGCTGTTACCTCATGAGAGGGTCCGACACAAAGCTTCCAGGGCCTTCCATGGTAGCCCAGACTGTAAGCAGAGAATCTCTGGATATCTGAGACCGACAACACGTAACCAAACTGCCCCTTTTCTCCAAGGAGAGCAGCCCTTCTCGTCCTCACTCACTGGGTCTTTGCTGCTGCCCTGGCTCCAAGCCCGTCGCCAGCTCCCTGGCTTCCCTGCCCTGGAATCCTTGCTCTCAGTAGCTCTCCGTGGAAAGCCACTTCCAGAAATGCAGGCAGTGTGCAGGGAACTCTCTCTCCCGGGCGTGTATGCGGCTTAACCTTCCTCTTCTGTTGCAAGCTTGTCTGTGATGCCGCGAGCACTCCATGGCTGGCAGCTCGAAGCCGGGCATCGTCTGTGTCTTCTCAGTAACTTCTTACAAAGGCCTTGATGGGTGCCATGGTTTAAACTCGATTCTGAAATCCAGTTAGGATAAAGAAAGCCTTTGACATATGGCTGGAAGCCAGTGGCTTCAAGGGCAATTTTTGCTTCTGGGTTTTTGGAAATATCTCACCCTTTGTTCTTTTATGAAAATAGTCGCACAGTTCTTTTAAAGTCCTGTCAATCTACTTTTAATATTCTGTCAGTGGAACTTTTGGGAAAATGTTGGTAGATAATGTGTCCCTTAAGAGAATTTTGAGTTGTTAAATTCCATGGGCCTTGATCTAAACTGGAAACAAAGAGCTTCATCTCTTCTTACCAGAGTAGGATCAAAGTAAATTGCGCACCAGGGGAACTTCATTTTCATTTTTGGGGTGCTTTCCTTGCCACTTGCTGCCCAGGCCAGGCCTTGGCATTTAGTCGTCATCGAAAACGTGTCCATTCACCCTGAAGACTTGAAGTGAGGCACTCTGCCCCTGTGACATCTGCAAGCTCACAGTCCTTATGTCACGCTCACCTGTACTCAGGTCTGGCCTGTGCATTTAAAGCCCGACAGCGTCCAGTGTGTGGCCTCAAACACTGTGCTGTATGGAGGCGGCTTCACTGGACACATGGGTTGTCGAGGAAAGGCCTGTACTGTCTGAGCTCCTAAGTTTCAGGATGGAGTACCCCGAGCTCCGAACCTGGGTGCAATTAAATGTGAAATGGTCTCATTTTAGCATGGAAGGAGGTCAGCTTTTCAGTCAGGAGGACAGATTTTTCAATTTAGTTTTAAGTGTTAATTTTCCTTTGGGGGAGCTGGAAGAGCTATAGTGTTTAAAGGAATAAAGTATCACAGCAAAACTATTAACGAGTCATCACCAGTAAGGGGAGGCAGGAGGACTCCAACCTTTGTTTTGAGAGGTCTGGATGATTTGAAGGGACCCCTCCCCGCACCTTGTGGAGCAGAAGGCTTCAATTGGGGGGGAGGGGCCTGGGAGAGGGGGAAGGGGAGGTGCTTGGGGAAGGGGAGCAAATCTCAAGTCACACCCACTGGGTTTTATTTGAGGAAATGTGTCTTCATGTAGGCAGTGATGTATTTTAAAGTGAGACATTTCCTCAAACTTGTTTCTATTTCAAGAGATTGTTTTGACAGGTCTTTGAAGAAAAAAATCCCTTCCTGCCCTGCAGCTTCAGGAACTGCCCTGAGAGCCTAATCCTGCCACACACTGGTGGAGGCAGCGGCCCTGGCCCCAGGCAGGGTGGCCGGGCTGGGGCACTGGGTTGTCAGGCGCTGCTGTGGCAGCCACAGGCCAAGAGTCCTCATCTCCTGGAGGACAGGACTTCCAGGACTTAACGTGTGCTTTGCAGTTTGCACTTCAAAGTGCTTAAAATCTTGAGGCCGCGGAGAAGTGTCCATTTGGGCCATTCTTAGCAGGCCGCAAGGAAGCGCCGCCCGCCCCCACCCCGGCCCCAGGTCTCTGCCACAGCCACCAGCTGTGCCTCTGAGCGCCGCTGTGGCCCACGCTGCCTCCCACACACCTGGGTGGCAGCGGGGCTCCGCGGAGTGTCCTAACCTCTGGAGAGTGAAGTGACCGAAGAGCAAATTAATTTAAAGAGCTGCCCCTCCCCCCCAACAAAGACCCCTTTTAATTAAGTAGCTTTCACTTAAAAGTCCTAGAAAACATGCAGACTGGAAAATGGTAACGGTGCTCTGGGTGTTGGAGAAGAGCCAGCTGGCCGGAACGGGCCGCCCTGGAGCGAGGCCCCAGCCTCCCTTTCAGCTGCCTCCACCAGGGCTGACTTGGCCAGAGCTGACTCCCCGCCCTGCTGGGAAGAGTGATTCTGCCCTGCAGCGGTGCTAGGTTGTGGTTCATGCCTAACCTAACTGTGTAATCTTCATTTTTATATGATGCTAGGTGGCTAGATTAGGAAAAGATGACAGACTAGAAGAAAGGTAGGTAGGTAGATCAGCAGACAGACAGATAATGGGTGGTAGGAAACTCCGACTTCTTCCCTAACAGCGAACTGGGGAGACATGGAGGTGCCAGCCACGCTGTAAAGGCGGCTGTGGATGGCCCTCACCTTACAGTGGGGCGGGAGGGGCCCGGGGAGGAGGGCAGTGGCGAGACTGCGGGAGCAGCAGCTGACATCTACATGCCCGGGCTATGCTGGCTTTTTTGCGAGCCGCATCTGATCGAATACCTTTAAGGTGCCTCATCCTCTGCATATAGAAAAACTGTATTGGGAAGCCGACTATTCGCTGAAGTTTTGTGCTCAGCAGCCGCTGGGAGGGGGCCCGGCATGACCCCAGCATCACTCCACAGCGTCTCCTTTCATCATCAGGAAAGTCCTGATGACCTGAGTCTCCGCCCCGCCTCCCGAAGCCCCTGAGCTCCAACCCTCCTGTGCTGACTCAGACCTGCCACAGCTGTGTTGGACCTTCTCTGAACAGTGTTGCTTCCTCCGACCCAGATTGTTCAAGCAGGGACAGATCAGCATGTTCAGCTCTCTCTCCCTTTCTACCGGCGCATGATTATTTCGGTATTTTAAACAAAGCCCGAGCTATAAGACCCGTTACATTGACTGTGGGTGGTGTAAATGTGGCCGCTAGGGTTTTGCCCAAACAAATTCTGCAGACGCTTAAATCGCTAACGCCATTCGATGCAAACCCACTGTTCCAAAGGACCGTCTGCCCCCATGCCACCAATGCCACACCTGCTTTTCAGCACCCATGGCTGAAAAGGACCCGGACCAGTGGCTCGTATTTTCAGATCTCTTGCTTATTTTCTGCCTCATGTAACAGAGAGTTCTAAAGACCAGTTACTAGTACAATTGCCAATAGGAATTACCCAAGCCCAACAGAATCCTCCCTCTGGATCCATAAGCCACTGCTGTCCAGATTAGCGTCTTCATTTTGCACCGGGAGCCACAGTCCTTAGGGCTTAGCAAACCACAAGAAGACAGCAGACCACGGTGCCATTTATTGGGGGTTGTAAACCGAGCTCCGTGTTTGGTGGACTCATGATTGGTGTCCAGAGGTGGCCACCGATGCCATGGACACCTGGTCAAACATTTCCACTAGGCGAGGTTTTTGGGGTTTGCACCTGGCTGAAAGGGTGTCATGGCAGCCGAGAAGCATGTTAATAATTCACTTTTGCGAGGTGTTTCAGCAACAGCCAGCTTCTGCCTCGGACCAGAAAGGGCTGTTTGACGTCAGCGCTGCCCCTGACGCCTGAGTTTGCCTGAGATCATGACTCAGCGTAGTGAGGAAATACAGCCCAGACAAGAACTGTTTTCCACTTACATCAGCATGGCATGTTTCCGAGGGGCCATCGTCGCAGCTGCTTCTAAACTCAGTGACAAATACACATGTTTTTAGTTTGTATAGAAAATATACAACTTGGAAATTTAGCATCTCTGATTTTTCCAAAGTGTCAGTCTATAGATGGGGATCTCTTTTAAGACCAGGCGTCCGTAGGGGAGCGATTTGGCTTCATCTGAGTTAGACAGAAAGGAGACACTGTAATTTATGAGCTGAACTCACAGGTGGGTGCAGAGCGGGATTTTGTTCAGCTCATCGATGGCTGGCAAGGATGATACATGGCGGTTTCCACAAATCACCTTTATTACTTTAAACACATTTTCGGGGACATGGACACAGGTGTGCTCAAATGTGCCGGACACATCCATGTCCTTTATCTCATGCTGTCCTTCTCATTTCATGCCCCAAAGAGATCAGATTCATATGAGCAGGTCCGCATTTTAGTTTTATTCATGCTGCCTTGTTTATTTGTGTTACTATGCTCATGTGACTCTTCCTTGCAACTAGACTGAAGCCATGTGAATGTCATCAGTCTCTGCCTTCTTGCGCAAAAAAAAAAAATCTTTTTTTAAAAGATTTATTTATGCAAACAAGAACTAGGGTGCCAGCCAAAGGTGTTGGGGACTGGGGGAGGGGGGCGGTGAGAGGAGTCACTAGAGACAGAAGGGGGAGCAGAACAGGCGTTCAACTGAAATCTACTTCTGAGGGGAGCAGCGGGGAGACAGGAGAGGTCTGCCGCTCCCTGTGGGTCAGCTCCCTGGCTGGGCTGAACTCATTGGCTGAGGATCACTTCATAGTGCTGAGACTTAACCCCTTGGGCCACCGTGGCGGCTCCCAGAAATGTCCTTTCTTCATCTGATTGTCTGTGGAAGTGCATGATGCCTTTGGGGTCACTTAGCAAGGCTGCTCTGAACAGCGGCATCATGGCAGGTGAGGGCTGCCTTTCAGCCTCGCCGAGGTGGGTCTCTCTGTTGTGTGGGTGCTGTACTGTCTTCTTCTCTCCCCGACCCCCCCTGTTTAACAGCAGCCAAGTCCAGGGAGCACTGGATGAATCCGACGACCCTGAAACGGGCTGTCTGAGCGACAACAAACCAACCTCTCGGCACTTCTACCCTGTCGCCCTGCTGCTCGTCAGCTCACACCTGCTGGTCGTGTGGCTTATTTTAAGTCTCGCGTTACTGTTAGCTAAATACCAATAAGCTTCCAGCTGTACTCCTTTCTTTTCTACAAATGACAACGGACTTTAAACTATGGGGACAATGCTGTACTATTTCTACATTTTCAGATTCACAAAATTAAAGGACAATAACAAATGTTTGACTTGTAAGTGTTTCGTTTGTTTCTCCTAAGACCCGAAGGAAGAAGTACTATGCATTCAGTGAATTATTTTGCCCTTTTGTTCATGGAAACATTTCCCATTATGAACTAGCTCAAGAAGAATTTTTAAATTACTGTCTTTGGGTAAGACAAAGAATAGAGTCCTGGAAGCTTGAAGCCCTGCGCCTCCTTCCCTTCCCGTGAGAGTATTACGGAAGCCAAGACGCACGCGCACCGCGCACTGGAGCCCGAGAGGAGCCGGGCAGCGGAGTGCGCCCCGATGTGCCCTGTGCAGCTGGCCTTGTTGCCATCGGCTGATGGAACCTTCTGTCCGCTTTCCTAACTGTTAGTTCTGTCATTTCTTTGCTGCAGTTAACCCTTTCTGTCAAGCTACTTTATGGAGAGAATGGCTGTTTATGTTTTGTAATTAAATTAACCTGTTTGTAGCTATTGTTGGGGTTGATCTGGCTTTCGGGGACTTTTCTATTCTTTCTAACAAGGTCTTGTTGTGTCTTGATGCGCCGTTTTCAGGACCTGTGACTTTTGTGCTGTCGTTCCCAAGTGTGTTCCCCGATCAGCTGGCACCGGGACCAGGCTACTCGAAAGCCATTTTTCCTCTTTGTTGCACAGCTAAAATAATGAAGTAAAATAGAGATGAGACTTTCCTTTAAAAATCTATAGGGCCAGACTTAATCAATTAAATGCCTTATTCCTAGAACCTGCATCCTTAGGGCTACATATAGATTTTAATGTGTTTTAAAGGGACTGGAAATTAATTTGGGGAAAAGTTATTTACGAAAGGCAGATATATTTATGAAATGAAAGTGAAGCTGTATTGTGGAGCAAATTATATTTAAAGAGTTTATTAAGTTTTAAATATCTGTTAAGAGCAAAAAGAGATTTTAATCATCTTTTGCTGAGGGCAGTAATGGTATTGGGCCTGGCCTAGGATTTAATTTTGTAAGATGTATCATCATTTGTGGGGGAAAACAAATGTAGAGTTGACTCTTTGTTATTTTTACCTGGACTGTTGCTGCAACTCTGCATTGAAAACAAATAAAGCATATTTATTTATTCCGTGTTTCATGAAGTTGTACTTTTTCCCCTTTCACCAGAGAAGGATGCCGCATAGAGAATGTACTGAAGAATATCAAATGCAGAAAGTATGCTTTCAACATGCTACAGCTGATGGCTTTCCCCAAGTACTACCGGCCTCCAGAGGGGACTTATGGCAAAGCAGACACCTAACTTCCAGCGTGTAAACTAACGGGAACACAAATGCGCTCTGGTCGGATAATCACCTTTTTTTTTTTTTTTAATTATTATTATTGTCATGAATTCCTGGAAGGAGGTGTTTGCCCAAATCTAGGTTGCTCGAATCAATTACCAGCATTTTACTCTGAAGGAAATCCATGTAGCCATCGTTAAACATCATTGTATGAGTTGGTCTCCGCTTGAGATCAACTCAGCAAATTTGCTTTTGGTTTATGGAGTCTTTTCAGGAAAGATGTTCTGAAAATAAAAGTTTCTACAGCAGGCCCAGGAACCCTCTCCCTACAAAATGAAGCCGAGGGGCCCAGGGAGAAGGTTTCTGTGATATTGTTTCACTCCTGGCTCACTCATAACCTTCCCACTCGTGAGGTCAAAAAACTATTTTTTTAGGGACATAAAATGAGTTGGGGCGACCTGAGGTAGGGAAGGTTTCCAGATGTCTTTGTAACGAGCTTTGCCAGCTAGTGCCTGGTGACTGCACCTCCTCAGCTGGTGGGCACACAGTGCTGAGGAGGTACCACGCCACTTCAGGGTGGTATGGTCATTCACAGAAGTGGCAGTTGAGAAGGTTTACTAGGCAAACACTGCAAGGCATTGACACCTCTGGACATTAAAGATGAACAGCCTGTTGATGTTGAAAATGACAACCCTGCCAGCCCGAACTTTATACAGTCAGATTTGTGGGAGTCAATAAAATACCTTTGAGTCATTTTCTCATAGTCGTCTGGGTGTAGAAGACAGAGCGTAAATATGAGGTTATTATTTGTGAGCAAAACCTTTTAAATACAGGCAGCCAAAGCGAATGATAAACCAAAATTATTATCTCTGTTAACCTGAACTGTGAATTTGTACTTACTCAGTAAAGTGACTCCATAAGATTTCCAAAAATCTAAATTAGAAGTTGCTCCGGGGTCCTCTTCGCCAGTGCCATTCCGAGTGGGCAGGTGAAGCCACGAGGAAGATGGCCCCTGGCACCTCGCTAGATCATGCTAACCCGTGATCACAATCTCTCCTTTCCTTCTTAACCTGTGACCTGCCTCTTCTCCAAATTTCCATCCTAAGGACACATGAGCATGAGGGAAAATACCAGTTCATTAAAAAGAAATTGGCGTGTCTTGTTGGGGGTGAAGCTCAGAGTACAACCGAGGTCTGAATAAGTGAAACTGTTTCTCCAAATGTTAGGCGTCTGTCTGTCTCCCTTCTCCGAGGCTCCTGCCTCCCAGAGGTCAGCGACCTGTGCCACTGGCCTCTCTCAGCTCTGAGCATGTCGTGTGACACAATCGGGCTCTCCACAGGGGCTGTCACAGCTCCTCGCCCGCGTGTCACTGCACAGCAATTCCTAACCGGTCTCCAGGTTCATGTTGCATTTTTCGAATTGCCACAAATGTTAGTTAACGCTCTGGGGCTTTTAATACTAGTATTCCCAGTCTAGTATCTGAGCCACCAATGTGTGGCCCTTATCCTTGAGGCAGCTGCCGAAGCTTTATAGCCCTTGTAATGAAAAGATACTGGGTGGTGTGGGTCAGCGGGTACAAAAGTTACCTTGGTTCTCTTTATACCTCATTCTCCATTCCAGGAACTAAACATCATCTTCGGGGTGTTTGGTTTCATGTGAAAGGGTCAGGTGTTTGCGGTTATTACCATTATACTATCAGACTTGAGACAGGTAGCTGTGAAGCCATATTTGATGCACTCAGTGTGACAAATGGGCATCAGTCTGAGTTCCAAGAGCTGTAACTGATCTATCACCCTTCAAGTGATCGTTTCTGTGTGTGTTCTGAAAATGAGACCTTTTGTCTCAAATATGGAAAATAATCTGTTAACTAGAAGCTGGTAGAATGGATTTTCTGTTCTTGAGAGGCATTAAAAGATTGAAAGTGTATAGATATCAATATAGACAGCTAAGGGACTAGCACCTGGTGTAACACAGAGGCCGGCCAGCTTTCACTTATTATCACCACATCCTTCTGTACTTTGCACTAGGAAACCTGTATCTGTGCATTTTTTTAAAGTTCTTTTTCTTTTTAAAGTTCATTTCCTGAAGAAAATCCGTGTTTCATATTGATGATATTGTCCCTTCCTTTGAGATGTTCCTTGGGATACCACTTCACTGTTTAAGTTATGAATCCTTTCTAAATCCAAAGGCAAATGTTAAAAGAAAAGTTTTAAAATCTTCTTTTGTGCAAACACAGCCCCATCAGCCTGCCCTAGACATTTAAATGAGACACCAGCAGGCCTGATTTAAGAGTCCACGTTGACCCAGAAAATGCTGTTTCCAGGAGATTGTGGAGAAGGACTGTGGGTCCCTTGGCGGGTGTCTGGTAACTTACACCTGAAGACATGTGGACCGCTCACCCCAGTCACCCCATTTCTCTAAAACCAATGATCTCAGTTAAAATACGGTCTTCCAAACAAGATTTTTTTCTTTTTTTGCTTAAGAACATGCTTCCTCTCTATCACCCCCAACTGTAGTAGAGACCATTCTATGTTAGCCCTTTACAGAGTCCTACGGAAAACATACTTAAAAACAGGGAAGTGTGAAATCTCGCAATGTTTGACCCAGTCACAAAAGATTCAGGCCCTGGAAATGTTCCACAAAACAGTGCAACAGAGATGTTTGAAATATTAGATCAGGACTTGGGGTGGGCGCTGACGTGGGAGTTTTCGAAGCCCTTACTTCAAAGGAGAAACCCCTGATTTTCTGAACAGCCAGTGAGGCCTAGCAGCTAATCCCGGGAGGATTCTTCCCTTTGTTTCCTCAGCTAGATGGTATTTTGCATAAAATAAGATGACTGGGAAAAAAGGGCATCGGAACAGATATGCTGTCTTATCTCAATCCACTGGGTGAAAGGTGAGATTGTTGAGAAGAGATGGGTAGTGTGATCACTCCTGTGTGGAGTCACAAGAAGCATCTTTCCAGGAATTTTTCGTGAGCTGGTTGTTAAACACAGCCGCCACCCAATATATTTTTATAAGCTATAAATGCGTG